GTTTTCAATCCATCAATTAATAAACATTGCAACTTACTGCAGAGGCTGTGGGCATGTTAATATCCAGTTTCAGTAACACCATTCTTCTTTTTATTCTTATTTGTACTCTTATTTGAATATTTTATTGAAACTTCAACTTATTTTATGTCAGTTTTAGGAAAATGGAAAAATGAAAGTCTCTATGTTAGTAAAATGCTTATCTAAGAAGCTGAGTATAATAACGGCAAAAATGGTAATTATTGAACATGTCAAAGAAGGTAAATCCTTAGTTTTAATCAGATGATCACTGAACACACGTACACATGTCAGAACCATGTTGTTGAATAGTGTTAGGGTTAAGGTTAGGGTTCTAACCTAACCCTAAATGATTCTAACATTTAAAGTATAACTGGCAATTTTATTTATATTTGATCTCTTATAAAATTACCTCTGCAATATATGTTATTGATTTTCATATTATTTGAATCTTATAGGTTTTTAGAAGCCCACAATGTACCAAAATAGAAAAGTGTACTGATACTGAGAGATGACAGACAGAAATAAAGACAAATAGGTGAAGAGATGGAGAGATAGCCACATAAATAGAAGTAGGGAATGGGAGAGAAGGAAAAAGAAAAGATGAGAGGTGGAACAGAAAATGAAGATGAGCTTAAGGATGAAAGGGGATGAGGAAAGAAGGGAGGTGAAGACAGAGGAAAAGAAAGAAAAGGAAGAGAAGCATGGAGAAGGAACAAAGAGGCCAGAAACCGCCGCAAGATTGGACAAAAGATTAGAGAGACAAGAAGAGATGAAGGGAAGGAAGGCATGTATTTGAAGCAAGAAGTCACTGGGGTGAGGGCGGGGGGAGACTTGGTCACTAGCTTCTCACTCTAAGAACTTGGCTGGCTTTTGCCCTTCTCTAACAAATAATTCAGAAGTCACATTTATTCAAGAAAAAGGCAATTATTTTAAAACAACAGAAACAGCTGTTGAATGAGTCAGAGGAGACTAAGTAGTTGGAGCAATGTGCTGTTAAGAATGAAAGCCATCATTGCCTGTGCATGGAAATAAATGACAGCCTGGACAAAAGTTCTGCTGAGTGACTCTACTGCAGCCACTGAAGTGGAAGATGCCACTTTTTGGTGCTTTGAAAACTGCCTTTTCTTCCCCAAAAGAGAAATGCTCATTTAATCAGAGAAGCAACCTGACAATAAATAGAGTACTAAAACCCTTTGAAATGAAAATGTGACAAAACAAGTAAAAATAATGAGCTTCCCAGTGAGACTGTGGAGAGATGTTAGTTAACATTATTTTATGGTACCCTTAATACGAAGTGATCACAGATAATCTCCCAGTAGGATGGGACACACCTGAGAGGCCAATAGAATTTAGATACTTTGGGGGCACCTGGGTGGCTCAAGTTGGTTAAGCATCTGTCTTTGGCTCAAGTTATGATCTCAGGGTCCTGGGATGGTGCCCCCATCCCCTGTCCTAGGGCTCCCTGCTCAGTGGGGAGTCTGCTTTCTCCCTCTCCCTCTGCCTGTTACTCCCTCTGCCTGTGCTGTCAAATAAATAAAATCTTAAAAAAAAAAAAATTGGGTACTTTGTCCAAAATCACAACTAAGTCAGGTCTGCTAATGTTTAATTTCACAAGTGATTAATGGACATATACACTATCTGCTGGAACATCCAGAGAATATGAAGGAAATCGTAAGTGGACCAGATTCATTAATTTGTTTGTACTTGTAAATGTTATTAGGTCCCTAACTGTAAGCTTCCTGAGATCCAGGAACAGTATCTTATTACCTTCCTACCTAGAGTGAATCAGCACATTGCTCAGCACAAAATAGTGCTGTTTTATGTGCATGTTTAATGGAGAGTATTAGAGCACAAAATCATAACTTTTAGATATCAGGACTGCATAAATTTGCTGTAAACCTTAGATATTAGGACTGCCAGTAACATGGAAATTACACCTGACCCTATGCCAGTTCTCAAAAGGCTGACCATCACAAATTTACCTTCCCCAGAAATGGGTGCAGTCTACAAATCACTTGATATATAGTTCAAAAGATAAAAGTCATGTGCCTTTAGGGGACATCTGGCCTCCCTCCTAAGGACAGTATGAAAATAAAACAAAATTATAAACTGAGTAGTAATTAGATGTCCCTGAGGAAAAGGTTCCTCATATCAGCCATGATCAATGATTCAAACACTTCCCAACACAGACGTGCCCAATGGATGAATAACCCTTATGTCTGGATCATCTCTCCAACCCAGTCTCATCTCCTCACAGCATCACAGCTGCTGAAAACATCATTTGCCTCTCTGATCCCTCATTCCTACCTCCTATATATGTTAACCCCCTGACTTCTTAATAAGCCTTCTCCTTCCCAGTCCCAGAGCCAACTTGCTCCCACTCCACTTCTCCTCCACACATGCCCCTTTTACTGGAGCCCATCATTTCCCCAGTTCCTATGGCAGTAGCCCACAGTTCTCCGTTTCTAAGGATTAGAAGTACGGACCCCCTGGGAACCCTACTCCACCCTTGGGGGCTGGGACAGACATCACAAAACAAGGCTAATGTCCACTGGCCTACCTCAGTAAAAGAGAAGCTCCATCTGAAGGCTTCACATTTTCTCAGAGAATTACTGATGTATTTAATTGTTCAGTGGAGCTTAGGTGCTATTTGTATAAAATTTAATCCAGGGTACCTTAAAATCCATAACCATCAATTAGAACACTATTTGGGGGGTGATAGGGAGACTGTATGTTCATTTTCAAATGATAAACTTGCTAACAAAATTCCTCATACATCCCACTCCCAGATTAAAAATAATTCAATAAACAAAATTACAAAATAAGCAGTAACATTGTGTTTAACAGACATTGAATTGTGAAACACCCCCTGGAACACTCCTATTTTACAAGTTACAGAGAGCAGATATACAAACTTACCTAACTAGCTAGACAAGGACAACTTGTAATTTAATAAATAATTAGTTAAATTAAGCTAAGTGGGGCCTTTTCAAAAGCTCTCCTCCAGCCAGATGTTATAGAAGAGGCCTGCTTTACTGGGAGCACACTTTCTTCCACAAGATTCTCAAGACTTAAAGTGTAATATTACATCTTGGAAACTCATTACTGTATAATATAATTGGACAGGAAACAGGTAGGTGAGTTGCTGCAGCATTAAGTCATGGTCAAGAAAATACTCCATGTATGAACCTCCACCATAAACAATAAGGCGATATCGTAGCAGGAGAAGATATAATAGAAAGAATAATAAAATTAATTAAGCCACCCCAAAAGAGTTTAGTCTGTTATAGTAATAATCTCCAGAGTGTAATCACAAAAGACATTACTGAGTCAGCACCATAGGTGTGGTTTGTCTCCATCTATGCCAATCCCTTTCAGCAACTATTCAATAGGTAAAGTTTCCCACAATAAGTTCTGAGCATCTGTGGTCTAGAATGTGCCAGCTTTAAAGGCAGCATCTACCCAGCCCCTCAACTCTGCAGGGTGCAGCCAGCACTCTTTAATAGGTGTGTACACCACGTGTGCCCTAAACCCAAAAGCCAGGGGGTGGAATTTGAAACAGGAAGGTGTGGGGACTGCCATCATCCTGGGAAACAAACAAAACAAAGACTGACCCCTAACTCCCACTCCATCCGGCTTCACACCATTCTCATTCCCTAGTTATTTTGAAAAATCAACCCAACAAACAAACAAAAACTCGATTTCTCTTCTAAGGCCCTTTCATCACTGCTCCCTTGTCCTATTTCATGTCAGGGCTGATTCAGCCTCAGTCAGGGATTTCCCTGGGGCTCCTGCATTGGTTGGGGATGAGAAAGGGAAAGAGGGGAGGTGCTTGCCAGGAACCTGGCAAAATGTGTAGCAAGTGGGAATCTGGAAATGAGTTGCTGGACATCGTGGTCTCCAGCCTTGACTGTTTGCGCCAGCACGGCTTTCTCTTTGTGTTCTGACCCCCTCTGAGTTCTCCTCTCCACTTCTGGGTCAGAAATGCTAGAACTTAGAACCTCATCACTGCATGCAGAGTCAGCACGGTCGGTATCCTGTGTTCCTTCCCACAGCCTCCTCCACATAAAGCACCATTGTCTCTTTACATCCTCATGCAATAAATAACTGACACACACACATTCTCGGCCTCCGCACACACCTTATAGGGGGTAATCATTCTCCTAACGTGTCACAAAGAATAGGCCTAAAGTCTCCGACTACCTTTCCAGAAGCTATCTCCTCTGGGCACACTGGTTCTCAAAATCTGGTATGTACTAGGGTCACCCTAGCGAGCGAACCAAGGACACAGGCCGCCGACTGGACTCGGGAAAGCACAGGTCTCAACTATTCTTAAGGCAACTGGATTCAAACCGAGGAGATTTCGTCCAGAATAACGCTTGTCTTGCTTTCCCAGTCCACCCGCACTAGACACCTAAAGACACACGCGCTCTTGGGCAGCCTGCGCCCCCTCGGCTGGCCGGCCCGCGTCCCCGGTTCCCCCCTCCCGCCAGGCCCTTCCAGACCCCGCCCCCGTCCCCTGCCCCCCCTGCCCCCCCTCTCCCCGGCCCCCCTGCCCCGGGGCCTGCCGCGCGCTCCAGAAGCGGAGAGGAAACCAGTCCCGCGTCCACGGTGGGCGGCGCCTGCCCTGGAGGAACCCGAGCGCGCCCCGCCGGAGACCTGACTTTTCAAACTTCCCCACGCGCTCTCAGCCGCCCGACGATGGAGGAGAGTTGACCAGACAGAGGAAAGGGGTTTCTGCACCCCGGAGAGCTGCCGGTCCCGCCCCCACCCCCCCCCGCCCCGGTGCTCGCCATCCCTCCTCCCCCGCCGGGCCAGCCCACCGCGCGTGCAGCCTCGGGAGCCCCCGCCCGCCGCGGCCGGGGGGGGCCCCCCGAGCCCCACTTACGGCCAGGAGCGCCCCGAGCCGCGCGCCGCCGCGCCAGCCGCCCGACGTTTGGCGCCCAGGAAACGGCGAGGCCGAGGGAGGGGACGGGAGTTACCTGGCGAGCGTCAGGTCCCGGCTGCTTCCCGCCCCGACCGCGCCTCCCGGGCCCGGGCGCACGGCCGAGGGAGGGCGGGCGTGCGGACCAGTCGCAACAAGTCAGAAGCGGTGTCACTGCAACCCCCGCGCAGCCAGAAGGCGTCTCAGGACCTGCCTGAGCTCCCGACACCCAGCCCTCTCCCCACCCAGCCCTCTACCAGCCAAGTATAAAGCCCGCCCTCCCCGTCCGCCCCGCGGGCTCCGGGGCCATTACACGTCCCGACACCTGGGCCCGGGCGAGCAGAGGCCGGGAGCACGGCGGCGCTCACCTGGGAACCGGTGACCTCGGCGGAGCGGGGCTGCGCCCCCACGCACCTCCTTCCTGGGCTCCGGGAGGCGGAGCGCGGGGGCCTCGGGGTTAGAGCGGGGGCGTGGGGGACCGGGTCGCACCTCCCTGGGGAGGGTGGGGCGCGGGCAGCCTGCAGGAGATCGTGCCAATCAGCAGCCGGCTCTGCAGACCCCTACCCAACTGCAGGGGGCTTTGCAGGCTTGGGAAGCCGCAGGCGGTGGAAAGGTGGTAGAAGCGGCGCTTGTGCACGTACCTTTTTATGGGAAAGGGAAATTCTAAACATCATCAAAGATTTGGTATCGACTTTGGAGGACCCTGGTTGTTGAGTTGAGATGGAAAAGATACTGTTTAAAACGGGAATACCTGCGTGAAAAGCAGGCCACTCACTCTAGGTGGGCTGCTGTGGAGCAGTGTTCGGGGAATGACGGCATTATGTGGTTTCAACGTAAATTGCAGCAATTAATAAAACTTATGTTTTAAAATTTTGTCTACACCTCAATAACTCTCGGGAATGTTTCCAACAACTGGATGATCATATAGTCTTCAAAACATAGCCGCTTGCAGCAAACGTTAAAAATGCACCCTAGAACGGGAAAAAAATGAAGCTGGGGGTAATAATAAGCCTATTTTAAGCTTTGGGCATAATATGTAAATTATCATAAAATGGAATTGACCTTAAAAATGACTTTTATGGATATTTTGCTCTGAATAAAGTACCTGGGGAAAATGCTAAACTATTGGGATTTCAGTTACGTCTTGACTGATGAATCAACTTAGCCTGGAGGATGAGATTTACATATCCTAGATGCTGAAACAGAGCAGAGCAAAGGGCTATGTCAGAAAGTAAAAGCAAGTCCCAAGGGAGAACAAAGATAGGCTTCCCAGATTGTGGTATCTGTGATTTATAGTTTCTTCAATATTATGATCTTCAATTTATCTTGTTTTATATATGTAACTTTTTTCTTTGGTTCCTGCGATTCCCATGTCTAACCTTTTAATATGTTTGCAATCTTGGTCTTCATTCTCGACATGCAATCATCTGACTCACTCAATTCATGTTATCTGTGTGTGGTACTTAATTTAGTTGTTTGCTTTTATGATGTTCAAAAATAATTCTGGATGTTTCTCAGGGGCATTTGGGACTGCATTCATAAATACACACTTAAAAATAGCAAGAATATTTAGACTAAACAAGTTAAAATGAGCCCATAGAAAGTCTCATTTTGTTAAAATGTTCATTCACACATAAATCAAGTGAAATTTCAAAGAAGGATATCTATTAAAGTGTCAATTCTTAAAAGCAGATGAAAGAGAGGAAAATGTAAATGGAAAGAGAGACCCCATTAAAGGTGCCATGCTAAAGCCTTTCTGCCCTTAGTGGGATGGGAAAATATGCAAAACTGACCTGACCCCTTAAAGGAGCCTACAGGCCAAGCGAAGAGAGTGGACACGTGCTCTAGGAAAGGGAGCTAAAAAAAAAAAAAAAAAAAAAGAAAGGGAGCTAATAGTACAACAAGTATGAGGAACTAGAAGTGGAAAGCACATAGGTCTTTAAAAGGTAAAAGGAAGTAATGATTAACTGCTTAAATCATTAAGGGATGCTGATGGAACTTCACAGAACTGTTGGAATTTGAATTGAATAATGACAAAACTCATTAGTTAGTGGAGTAATCTTGCGTCCCTTTAAGAGCTTTAAAATATACATATTTTAACGCAGTTTAAGACAATGGCTTCTAGGCAGTAAAGCCATCCATACAGAAAGAATGTCACATATAACAATAAAAAATCTAGAAGTGTTTATCAAAAACAGTTTTCCCAAGTACTCTGAGGGAAGTTAAGAAGCAAAATTACCAATAGTGTTGGCAAAACCTACCACCGACTGAATCAGCATATTAGTTTAATACTCTTATAAGACACTTCGTGTTAAGACTACTGTGAAATTTACTGAAATGAGCTTCATAATCATTTCATATTCTTGCCACATTTAAATTGTTACGTAAACTAATATGTAAGTAATAGTTAGCCAGTCACTGGTTCAACCCATAGTTATTGAGAGTTTTGTGTAGGAAAGGCACTGTGCCAAGTACTGGGCAGAGGATGGAAAGATGAATAAAGTTTAGTAGATATAACTAGGAATCATCCATGTTAATCTGAATTCTTGACTTGCATGTGTGTGCGTGTGTGTGTTTCTGTGTGTCAAGATGCAACAATGCAAACACAGTTTAAAGCCCACAGAGAGGGATCCCTGGGTGGCGCAGCCGTCTGGCTCCTGCCTTTGGCCCAGGGCATGATCCTGGAGACCCCGGATCAAATCCCACATCAAATCCCACATCGGGCTCCTGGTGCATGGAGCCTGCTTCTCCCTCTGCCTATGTCTTTGCCTCTCTCTCTTTCTCTCTCTGATGACTATCATAAAAAATAAAATAAAAAAAATAAAGCCCACAGAGATGTTAGAGTATTTGTAAAAAGAGGTGTGGAAAGAAATATAATTAAAGTTAGATATAGAAAAAATTATAGATAGATAGATAGATATAGATAAAACTAATAATTGTTTTATTTTCCATCACAAAATACCTTTAGAGGAATGAAAATGTACTATTATACTTTGTGATTCCTTCATTTTCAAAATTACTATGTAGTACTGTGTAGTTTTTTTAATCTGAAGTATCTAAAAGGTTAGGTAATTTTAATATTATTTCAGGGAATGAGGCCCTCTCCTTCCCTCTTCTTTTTCTTTTCAGCAGATCAGATACATGAAACTAGAAGGTGGTTTACATTTTTCATAGAACAAATAAATAATTTTTAGGCTCTTGCCAGTATTTACTGGTAAAATGCATAATTATGCAATTAAATGGAGGGACAGAACATGAAGCAATGCTAATAGGAGGTATTTGATAAAAAGTACTGATTAATGTAATTATTCAATGTTTTAAATATTCATTATTAGTCTTTTGTTGCCAGTATTTGCTAAGACATGAAAATTGTCCAATTTAAGTATCTTTTAAATTACTTCTCCTGAAAAGTCATGAGCTCTCTGTCATTGTTATAGATGAATATGAATGCTATCTTCAGAGGTATTTTATCATGGCATTATCACCAACATTATTAACACAATCACAGACATCCATTGCTATCGTATGTTATATAAATTATGTAGAAATACATCAGTAGTGATCATTCTAGGTGTCCTCATAGGCAATCATTACCTGGACTAGATTTCACAGAGTTCAACTGAAGTCAGCAGTATAAATTATGTTTTTGTAATTAAAAGAAAAAACAATGAGAAGGTGAGAGAGAGAGGGAGGAGAGGAAGAATCAGTAAACTGCCAACTCCATGGGCCTTTTTTGGAAGATCTAATTTGCAGATGTCTGCAATGCTGTATCACTGTCTCCTAGATATAACATGTTTCTTTTCACTTCATACCTTTGCCCATCTCTGCTCAGCGGATGTCCAGTCTGTGATATCTCCCTTGCTTCTTCCTGCCTCTCTGTATGATAGCCATCACTCAAGATTTACCTCTACTCCTTCATTATCCAATTCTAGCTTTGGCTGGTGTGGGCTCATTAAAATGCATAAGCCTTAATCCCCTTTCTACTTCTCTACCAAAGATATGTGACTTTATAACATCCCTATTACTGTGTGTGTGTGTGTGTGTGTGTGTGTGTGTGTGTGTGTGTGGTTTTTGGGTTGTTGTTGAAGTCTTCTGGTATAACTTAATCCTCCCAGTATCTTGTCTTCTCTGCTAGTCAGATCAGGAGTTCTCAGTAAAGGGTTGCCAACCCTTTGGAAAATGCTATAATGATTGAGGGCTCCACAGGAACTTAATGGGCGAGGATCCGGAATGATAGATATCCTATAATATGTCCTTCACAATGGAAAATTACCCCATGTGTTGTACAAATAACAGCAGTCCTGCCAGGCATAATGAAAGTGAAAAGGCCATTAATAATTACTTAAGTCTAGAACTTCTCTGTTATACATACAAAAGAAGAAATTTTTTTGCACAGTTTGAATATATGCCAACTTCCTGAAATCCAATTACAACATATATTTTTTTAATTTATTGATGATAGTCACACAGAGAAAGAGAGAGGCAGAGACACAGGCAGAGGGAGAAGCAGGCTCCATGCACCGGGAGCCCGACGTGGGATTCGATCCCGGGGCTCCAGGATCGCGCCCTGGGTCAAAGGCAGGTGCCAAATTGCTGCACCACCCATGGATCCCTACAACATATTTTTAATTTACACATTTGTCAGAATTATTCTTTATTTTTTATGTTTATTTGAGAGAGAGAGAGAGAGAGAGACAGCAGGAGAGGGGCAGAGGAAGAGGGAGAATCTCAGGCAGACTCCCTGCAGAGTACAGAGCCCAATGAAGAGCTTGATCTCACAACACTGAGATCATGACCTGAGCAGGGATCAAGAGTTGGACACTCCACTAACGGGGTACCCCAATTTTTTTATTTTTTAAATCATAGCACTGACAAAACTGCATCAGCTACCAATAAAACTGATGACTCTCCTTTAACATCGGTGGGTCAAGCATCTAACAAATTTACGTTTTTTGGCCTACTTATGTGTGAATATTTATACACAAACAAACAGCATTCTTTGTAAATTTCTTATAATTAGGCACGAAATTACTTTTAAAAAACATGTGCATAGGTTATTTTATGAAGAAATGTCATTCGGTTTTACTCTTATAAGGAGACAGTAACCTTATTAACCTCATTTGTTCAAAAACATGGAAGGGCATTGGGTCTGAGTGG